ACACATCCATAAGACTGCAGCCTACAGACACACTTCCATAAGTGCAGCCTACAGACACACTTCCATAAGTGCAGCCTACAGACACACTTCCATAAGACTGCAGCCTACAGACACACTTCCATAAGACTGCAGTCTACAGACACACTTCCATAAGACTGCAGCCTACAGACACACTTCCATAAGACGGCCGCCTACAGACACACTTCCATAAGACGGCCGCCTACAGACACACTTCCATAAGACTGCAGCCTACAGACACACTGCCATAAGACTGCAGTCTACAGACACACTTCCATAAGACTGCAGCCTACAGACACACTTCCATAAGACGGCCGCCTACAGACACACTTCCATAAGACGGCCGCCTACAGACACACTTCCATAAGACTGCAGCCTACAGACACACTTCCATAAGACTGCAGCCTACAGACACACTTCCATAAGTGCAGCCTACAGACACACTTCCATAAGTGCAGCCTACAGACACACTTCCATAAGACTGCAGCCTACAGACACACTTCCATAAGTGCAGCCTACAGACACACTTTCATAAGTGCAGCCTACAGACACACTTCCATAAGTGCAGCCTACAGACACACTTCCATAAGACTGCAGCCTACAGACACACTTCCATAAGACTGCAGCCTACAGACACACTTCCATAAGTGCAGCCTACAGACACACTTCCATAAGTGCAGCCTACAGACACACTTCCATAAGTGCAGCCTACAGACACACTTCCATAAGTGCAGCCTACAGACACACTTCCATAAGTGCAGCCTACAGACACACTTCCATAAGACTGCAGCCTACAGACACACTTCCATAAGACTGCAGCCTACAGACACACTTCCATAAGTGCAGCCTACAGACACACTTCCATAAGTGCAGCCTACAGACACACTTCCATAAGTGCAGCCTACAGACACACTTCCATAAGTGCAGCCTACAGACACACTTCCATAAGACTGCAGCCATCACAATGTCAGTTACATGCCATCTAGTAGCAAGAGAGGTTTATTAAGATCTTCGTTTCAGGCTATATATAAAATCTATAATGAAGACAAGTAATTGATCCTTATCTCAGGATGAAATCCACAGTTTGAATATGAGTACAAATCTTATCCCTACCTCAGAGACAGTGGCTGTGTGGATAAAGACAAACACCAGACAACCACCAGTGAATGGCTTACAGTTGGGTGGAGAGAAATAAGGTTGAGGTGACACAATCAGAGTGAAACAAAATGAAATATTCAGCAGCAAACACTTGATGAGAATCAATGCAAGAAGGTGTCAACAGTATGTGACACTGAGGCAGCTCCGTTCAACATACACAGGCACCATCAATGACAAACTGTCTGGCTGCAAGTAAACAAACCAAGTCTATGATTTGTTAGACATAAACACTCAACACTGTGCTGTAGCTCCAGGTCTATGGTCTGTCAGATACAAAACCCAACCATGTGCTGTAGCACCAGGTCTATGGTCTGTCAGTTACAAACACCCAACCCTGTGCTGTAGCACCAGGTCTATGATCTGTCAGATACAAACACCCAACCCTGTGCTGTAGCACCAGGTCTATGATCTGTCAGATTCAAACACCCAACCCTGTGCTGTAGCACCAGGTCTATAATCTGTCAGATACAAACACCCAGCCCTGTGCTGTAGCACCAGGTCTATAATCTGTCAGATACAAACACCCAACCCTGTGCTGTAGCACCAGGTCTATAATCTGTCAGATACAAACACCCAACCCTGTGCTGTAGCACCAGTTGTAAGATCTGTCAGATACAAACACCCAGCCCTGTGCTGTAGCACCAGGTCTATAATCTGTCAGATACAAACACCCAACCCTGTGCTGTAGCACCAGTTGTAAGATCTGTCAGATACAAACACCCAGCCCTGTGCTGTAGCACCAGGTCTATAATCTGTCAGATACAAACACCCAACCCTGTGCTGTAGCACCAGGTCTATGGTCTGTCAGATACAAACACCCAACCCTGTGCTGTAGCACCAGTTCTATGGTCTGTCAGATACAAACACCGAACCCTGTGCTGTAGCACCAGTTCTATGATCTGTCAGATTCAAACACCCAACCCTGTGCTGTAGCACCAGGTCTATAATCTGTCAGATACAAACACCCAGCCCTGTGCTGTAGCACCAGGTCTATAATCTGTCAGATACAAACACCCAACCCTGTGCTGTAGCACCAGGTCTATAATCTGTCAGATACAAACACCCAACCCTGTGCTGTAGCACCAGGTCTATAATCTGTCAGATACAAACACCCAACCCTGTGCTGTAGCACCAGGTCTATAATCTGTCAGATACAAACACCCAACCCTGTGCTGTAGCACCAGGTCTATAATCTGTCAGATACAAACACCCAACCCTGTGCTGTAGCACCAGGTCTATAATCTGTCAGATACAAACACCCAGCCCTGTGCTGTAGCACCAGTTCTATGGTCTGTCAGATACAAACACCCAGCCCTGTGCTGTAGCACCAGGTCTATAATCTGTCAGATACAAACACCCAACCCTGTGCTGTAGCACCAGTTGTAAGATCTGTCAGATACAAACACCCAGCCCTGTGCTGTAGCACCAGGTCTATAATCTGTCAGATACAAACACCCAACCCTGTGCTGTAGCACCAGGTCTATGGTCTGTCAGATACAAACACCCAACCCTGTGCTGTAGCACCAGTTCTATGGTCTGTCAGATACAAACACCCAACCCTGTGCTGTAGCACCAGGTCTATAATCTGTCAGATACAAACACCCAACCCTGTGCTGTAGCGCCAGTTCTATGGTCTGTCAGATACAAACACCCAGCCCTGTGCTGTAGCACCAGGTCTATAATCTGTCAGATACAAACACCCAGCCCTGTGCTGTAGCACCAGGTCTATAATCTGTCAGATACAAACACCCAACCCTGTGCTGTAGCACCAGGTCTATGGTCTGTCAGATACAAACACCCAACCCTGTGCTGTAGCACCAGGTCTATAATCTGTCAGATACAAACACCCAACCCTGTGCTGTAGCACATATACTTTGGACAGACACATGCTCACAGTATTATCCCTGAATGTGGTTAGACACCCCAGATGTCTCTGATTACAGACAGAAACACTCATACAAACAATATGCTGACTGTCGCCTAGGAACGTATATCCACCATTATTCACCAACCAAATAAACAACCATGATTACAGACAGAAACACACATACAAACAATATGCTGACTGTCGCCTAGGAATGTATATCCACCATTATTCACCAATCAAATAAACAACCATGATTACAGACAGAAACACTCATACAAACAATATGCTGACTGTCGCCTAGGAATGTATATCCACCATTATTCACCAACCAAATAAACAACCATGATTACAGACAGAAACACTCATACAAACAATATGCTGACTGTCGCCTAGGAACGTATATCCACCATTATTCACCAACCAAATAAACAACCATGATTACAGACAGAAACACTCATACAAACAATATGCTGACTGTTGCCTAGGAACGTATATCCACCATTATTCACCAACCAAATAAACAACCATGATTACAGACAGAAACACTCATACAAACAATATGCTGACTGTCGCCTAGGAATGTATATCCACCATTATTCACCAACCAAATAAACAACCATGATTACAGACAGAAACACTCATACAAACAATATGCTGACTGTCGCCTAGGAACGTATATCCACCATTATTCACCAACCAAATAAACAACCATGATTACAGACAGAAACACTCATACAAACAATATGCTGACTGTCGCCTAGGAATGTATATCCACCATTATTCACCAACCAAATAAACAACCATGATTACAGACAGAAACACTCATACAAACAATATGCTGACTGTCGCCTAGGAATGTATATCCACCATTATTCACCAACCAAATAAACAACCATGATTACAGACAGAAACACTCATACAAACAATATGCTGACTGTCGCCTAGGAATGTATATCCACCATTATTCACCAACCAAATAAACAACCATGATTACAGACAGAAACACTCATACAAACAATATGCTGACTGTCGCCTAGGAATGTATATCCACCATTATTCACCAACCAAATAAACAACCATGATTACAGACAGAAACACTCATACAAACAATATGCTGACTGTCGCCTAGGAACGTATATCCACCATTATTCACCAACCAAATAAACAACCATGATTACAGACAGAAACACTCATACAAACAATATGCTGACTGTCGCCTAGGAACGTATATCCACCATTATTCACCAACCAAATAAACAACCATGATTACAGACAGAAACACTCATACAAACAATATGCTGACTGTCGCCTAGGAATGTATATCCACCATTATTCACCAACCAAATAAACAACCATGATCCCACATACAACAATCATGATCCCATAGGGACCCAATGTATACCATATACAACAATCATGATGCCATAAGGACCCAATGACTACCAAATACAACAATCAAGATCCCATAGGGACCCACTGTCCACCACAAACAACAATCATGATCCCATAGGGACCCAGGGTCCACCACATACAACAATCATGATTCCATAGGGAAGAATTGTCCACTACATAAAACGATCATGATCCCATAGGAACCCATTGTCCACCATACAACAATCATGATTCTCTATGTTCTCATTGTCCACCACACACAACAGTCATTACATCCCACAGAGACCCATTGTGCTTGCGCCACATTCAACAATTATGATTCCATAGAGACACACTGTACACCATATGCAACAATCATGATGCCATATGTTTTCATAGTCCACATTATACAACAATCATGATTTCAAAGGGACCCATTGTCCACCACATACAAAAATCATGATTCCATATCTTGTCACTGTCCACCACATACAACAATCATAATAGCAGAGGAACCAATTGTCCACCACACACATAACAATCATGATCCCAGACAGTTATAAAACAGATGTTTGGACACACATTCTCACAGCTGGCTCTTCTTTCTGCAGAACCTCTCAGTGACTGTCATCAGACAGTGCACCAAGGAGGACAGCACAAAGACAGCACCTCCAAACATGAAAGACATGGAATACTGCCTGGTGACATCATAGATGAATCCGGCCAGAGGAGCTCCCAGGATCGAAGCAATACCTTTAATGGTGCTCAAAAACCCAAAAGCTGAGGCAAGAGTTTCCAAACCAAAATGTTTGACGATGATAAGCGGCTGCAGTGGGGGAAAGAAACCTATGAGAAAATAACAGAATTTCCTCAGTTGTGTTGAGTAAATGATGCCAGTGAAACTAACTGTACTACAAACAAACTTTATTTGCAAAAGGCTATTGTTTATCCAGACACTGGATACATCCAGTTGATTTTTGCAATATGGCAGTCCCATATGACCAACAATTGTCCAGCAATATGGCAGTCCCATATGACCAACAAATGTCCAGCAATATGGCAGTCCCATATGACCAACAATTGTCCAGCTATATGGCAGTCCCATATGACCAACAATTGTCCAGCTATATGGCAGTCCCATATGACCAACAATTGTCCAGCAATATGGCAGTCCCATATGACCAACAATTGTCCAGCAATATGGCAGTCCCATATGACCAACAATTGTCCAGCAATATGGCAGTCCCATATGACCAACAAATGTCCAGCAATATGGCAGTCCCATATGACCAACAATTGTCCAGCAATATGGCAGTCCCATATGACCAACAATTGTCCAGCTATATGGCAGTCCCATATGACCAACAACTGTCCAGCAATATGGCAGTCCCATATGACCAACAATTGTCCAGCAATATGGCAGTCCCATATGACCAACAATTGACAGCAACAGTCTGCCAGTGGAAGCCAAAGCTGATCTGCACTCATCTAAATGAATGAGTTCTTAACTCTTTAAGTCCTAGGGAATGCATCACACGCCAATTTGTATCATCAGCGAGGCCCAATCGACATGTGATTTTTAATCTACCACTGACCGGTTGTAAAACGCGGACCGCTCAATTTCAACTTCCTTTCGAGTTTTTTGTCTGATATCAGGCGTGCTGATTTAGAGACGTGCTTTGAAAGCTGAAAATATAGTATATTTGCGAGATTTGCAGAGTTAATAAGTGCGAGTTTGAAAAGAATATGGCCGCCAAGCAATATTCTACAAGCATGTCAACATGATTTATGGCTTTACAAGCTTCTAATTTAAATAAAGTAGGTGTTTATCTGATTTATTTGAAGTTAGATAGATAATGTTGTGAATTAGGCGTGTTTCAGTCATTTATAGAGTCAAACTTTGATGAGGGATATGTCTAAAGTGTACCTCACACAAAGGTACAACGATAGCAAAGTCAGCTGGCACATAGAATAAACATTAGTGAAAAGACCATTTTCTTCAATGTCAGTTAGTTCTAGTGATATTCCCCTTATTATTTAGAAACATAGCTACAAAATTACAGGCAAATTGAGTGTTATATAAACTTTGTTTTGTGTGAAGATACTTATTGTTTTGGAAGTCAGTTTTCTTTATCAAATAATGGTGCTCTGTTATGATGCTTCAAAAGATTCTTTGGAACAAAATCTAATGTATAGATTGAGTTTATATTTTACTTATACATTACTAAGTGGTTATTATTCATTTGTGTTTCATTTTGGAAATATTTTAACCAGTTTTCCTGGAGGCCATAGTGGTAAGTGGGATTTTTTTCATTTCATGTTACTAATTTTTGTAAACATACCGTATGTTTATTGACTAATATTTAATTACTAGAGCAATTATTTGTTGTAGCTGTAGTCTAAAATTATTCCTCAACAATGCCTGTTCACTCTGATGTAGAATACATGTAGGCCGCACATCAATGGAATTAGTATGGTCTATTTGATTGTCTTACACTTGTGAAATTAAACAAATTGCATGACCACCCCTTGGGCCTCTGATGCTAAACCCCCTGGGCCTCAAAGAGTTAACCATGCCGGCAGGAAACTGGCTGTAAAGATGAGACAAGTAAAGTTAGGTGTGGGGTGCCTAACTGTGGAGGTAAGACAAATTTAGCTAGGTGTGGGGTGCCTAACTGTTGAGTTGAGACAAATTTAGCTAGGTGTGGGGTGCCTAACTGTGGAGATAAGACAAATTTAGTTAGGTGTGGGGTGCCTAACTGTGGAGATAAGACAAATTTAGCTAGGTGTGGGGTGCCTAACTGTGGAGGTAAGACAAATTTAGTTAGGTGTGGGGTGCCTGGCTGTGGAGATAAGACAAATTTAGTTAGGTGTGGGGTGCCCAACTATGGAGATAATACAAATTTAGTTAGGTGCGAGGTGCCTAACTGTGGAGATAAGACAAATTTAGTTAGGTGTGAGGTGCCTAACTGTGGAAGTAAGACAAATTTAGCTAGGTGTGGGGTGCCTAACTGTGGAGGTAAGACAAATTTAGTTAGGTGTGAGGTACCTAACTAACAATATTTTATACCTGTCTGTAACTGTTAACAGTATAAGCCATTATCTGTATACATATGTTATACAAACATATACCATGTAATTATACATATATTATTTCAAGGGTGCTGAATGATTTTTATTAGTTGTGATATAAAATTGTACATGAACTACTTAAAGAGACTTTTTACAAATCTGGTATGATCATTAATACTTTGCTGATCATTGATCGGGGCATTACTGTCTCTCATTATGGAGGGTGTTTGGAGATCTATGACAGGGTGTCAAGCACACAAGTGTACATGCAAGTCTGGCATCTTTTACCTGCAGCCTGACACACTTACCGTCTAGTCTGGACCTTTGGCGTTTCATATTTGTCAATAAAATGGCGCTCAGTAAGTCATGATGTTGTTACTTGTGGTCTTGAAGGTGTTACACTGTAGTGCCCAAGAACAGAAAGTCCAATAAAAGCAAGACTGATTTCATGCTTGAACTGCTTTGCTTTGATCTTATACAATGAGTTTTCAGTGTTGTAGCTTAGATGCTCACTGACTAGAGTAGTGTCAACCACACACACACACACACACACACACACACACAAATAATATAATGGCAGGTATTATTTATAAGATCTAGTGGGGGGGGGGGGGAGGAGGAGGAGGGATACACAAATAATATAATGGCAGGTATTATTTATAAGATCTAGTGGGGGGGGGGGGGGGAGGGGGAGGAGGAGGAGGAGGGATACACAAATAATATAATGGCAGGTATTATTTATAAGATCTAGTGGGGGGGGGGGGGAGGAGGAGGAGGAGGGATACACAAATAATATAATGGCAGGTATTATTTATAAGATCTAGTGGGGGGGGGGGGGGGAGGAGGAGGAGGAGGGATACACAAATAATATAATGGCAGGTATTATTTATAAGATCTAGTGGGGGGGGGGGAGGAGGAGGAGGGATACACAAATAATATAATGGCAGGTATTATTTATAAGATCTAGTGGGGGGGGGGGGGGGGGAAGGAGGAGGAGGGATACACAAATAATATAATGGCAGGTATTATTTATAAGATCTAGTGGGGTGGGGGGGGGGGGGAGGAGGAGGAGGGATACACAAATAATATAATGGCAGGTATTATTTATAAGATCTAGTGGGGGGGGGGAGGAGGAGGAGGGATACACAAATAATATAATGGCAGGTATTATTTATAAGATCTAGTGGGGGGGGGGGAGGAGGAGGAGGAGGGATACACAAATAATATAATGGCAGGTATTATTTATAAGATCTAGTGGGGGGGGGGGAGGAGGAGGAGGGATACACAAATAATATAATGGCAGGTATTATTTATAAGATCTAGGGAAAGGGGGGGGGGAGGGGGGATAGCTTGCACTCAGTTGGCTAAAGTGAACAACACTCCCTATACATTGGTTTGATGTTCCTGTAAGAACAGGAAACTATTTGCTATAATTTACTATATTTACAGTTTACAATTCTGCCCTCAGGAATTCCACTTTTCCTAACTGTCTTGTCCACAACAGACAGCCAGGGTCAACAGACAGCCAGGGTCAACAGACACCCAGAGTCAACAGACAGCCAGGGTCAACAGACAGCCAGGGTCAACAGACAGCCAGGGTCAACAGACAGCCAGGGTCAACAGACACCCAGAGTCAACAGACGCCCAGAGTCAGACACCCAGAGTCAACAAACACCCAGAGTCATCTGACACCCAGAGGCTACCATTAGGGAGCTCAATGTTCACTGGCACAATAAAATATGTATCTTGTGTTGGTCGGTCTAATATAAAATCATCATCATCCTGCAGCATTGCTTGTCGTTGGGTCAGCAGTTGCTGCTGACTAATTAGATAACTCCACCTCTAACAGTAAGATGCAATTTACTTCATGGTTGCATGCCTAAGAACCATGCAGTCAGTCAAGTTTTGTGTCCACATCTTTCTTGGTCTACCTCTTCTCCTCTACTGAGTCCTGTGGTAACATCACCACAACAAAAAACAACCTGAGAGAAACACAATAAATACCTAAGAAGAATCCAAACATGCTTGCAAATATACACAGTGACCAGAACTGGGTATAGAGAGGGGACAGCAGGCAAGCCGCTCCACCAAGCAACAGAGACAAGTTGTTGAGCAGCAGTGGGTCCACCTTCAGACTGACCAGAGAGCCCGCCAATAGTCGTCCACAAATGTTCAGTCCACCTGGTGACCACAGACCAGTAGTTATCATACATCTGGTCTCTGTCTTCAATGTTGATGATACATGATCACAGAGAGAGAGAAGGAGAGGGAGAGAGAGATAGAGGGAGGGAGACAGAGAGAGAGGGAGTGAGAGAGAGAGGAGAGAGAGAGAGAGAGAGAGAGAGAGAGTAGTCCAGAAGAGGCATTACCACTAAAGTGTTGTAGAGAAGAGATATTACCACTAAAGTGTTGTAGAGAAGAGATATTACCACTAAAGTGTTGTAGAGAAGAGATATTACCACTAAAGTGTTGTCCAGAAGAGACATTACCATTAAAGTGTTGTCCAGAAGAGACATTACCATTAAAGTGTTGTAGAGAAGAGACATTACCATTAAAGTGTTGTACAGAAGAGGCATTACCATTAAAGTGTTGTACAGAAGAGGCATTACCATTAAAGTGTTGCCCAGAAGAGACATTACCATTAAAGTGTTGTAGAGAAGAGATATTACCACTAAAGTGTTGTCCAGAAGAGACATTACCATTAAAGTGTTGTCCAGAAGAGACATTACCATTAAAGTGTTGTAGAGAAGAGACATTACCATTAAAGTGTTGTACAGAAGAGGCATTACCATTAAAGTGTTGTCCAGAAGAGGCATTACCATTAAAGTGTTGTCCAGAAGAGATATTACCATTAAAGTGTTGTCCAGAAGAGTTATTACCATTAAAGTGTTGTAGAGAAGAGACATTACCACTAAAGTGTTGTCCAGAAGAGACATTACCATTAAAGTGTTGTCCAGAAGAGACATTACCATTAAAGTGTTGTAGAGAAGAGACATTACCATTAAAGTGTTGTCCAGAAGAGGCATTACCATTAAAGTGTTGTCCAGAAGAGGCATTTCCATTAAAGTGTTGTAGAGAAGAGATATTACCATTAAAGTGTTGTCCAGAAGAGTTATTACCATTAAAGTGTTGTAGAGAAGAGACATTACCACTAAAGTGTTGTCCAGAAGAGACATTACCATTAAAGTGTTGTCCAGAAGAGACATTACCATTAAAGTGTTGTAGAGAAGAGACATACCACTAAAGTGTTGTACAGAAGAGACATTACCACTAAAGTGTTGTACAGAAGAGATATTACCATTAAAGTGTTGTCCAGAAGAGGCATTACCATTAAAGTGTTGTACAGAAGAGGCATTTCCATTAGTGTGTTGTCCAGAAGAGACATTTCCATTAAAGCGTACAGAAGAGATATTACCACTAAAGTGTTGTCCAGAAGAGATATTACCACTAAAGTGTTGTAGAGAAGAGACATTACCATTAAAGTGTTGTCCAGAAGAGACATTACCATTAAAGTGTTGTACAGAAGAGACATTACTATTAAAGTGTTGTCCAGAAGAAACATTACCATTAAAGTGTTGTACAGAAGAGATATTACCACTAAAGTTTTGTAGAGAAGAGACACTACCATTAAAGTGTTGTCCAGAAGAGACATTATCATTAAAGTGTTGTCCAGAAGAGATATTACCATTAAAGTGTTGTCCAGAAGAGACATTATCATTAAAGTGTTGTCCAGAAGAGATATTACCATTAAAGTGTTGTACAGAAGAGACATTACCATTAAAGTGTTGTACAGAAGAGGCATTTCCATCAGTGTTGTCCAAAAGAGACATTACCATTAAAGTGTTGTCCAGAAGAGACATTACCATTAAAGTGTTGTCCAGAAGAGATATTACCATTACATCCCCCCCCCCCTTTTTTTTTGCACATACGCACACACACACAAACAGAAGGGGACCAAAAAACAGCAGCATCTTAGACACATGAGAAAATCAGATTATAAGAGTTAGAAATATATTCACAGGGAAAGAAGAGCAACAGATGGTTCACAAGGATGGAGGTCAAATTGGCAGGACAGACAGACACATCTACAACACAACACATTACCTTACCCAACAAGCTCATAGGGATAGCAGTGTGAGAGGTGGTCAACCCAAACAGATATGACTGACAGACATGTCTAAGACAGATACATTACCTTACCCAACAAGCTCATGAGGATAGCAGTGTGAGAGGTGGTCAACCCAAACTGGTAGGCATAGTTTGCCAGAAAGGTTCCGGCCAGTGGGTAGCCGATCTGTATGAGGGCAGCTCCTAGACAGAAGCAGTGAAATGAAGGCATACACAGCAACTGTGTCAGGGTGTACTCTAGCTGCAGGCTATGCTGGGACTCCACATCTCTATGGTCACCCCCTGGGTAAGCACAGGAACCCACAGCCTCAACATCCTTACTTTCCTGCTTGAGCAGATTTTCAGAAGCAACTCTAGTGTCCCCAGAATACTCTGCCGCTGGAACCCCAGGCTTCAGGTGATGCAGCACACACTCCAAGTAATAACTGGCATGATCTCCTTCATCATGAGAGCTGAAAGGAGCAGTGGCGGACTTTCCCAGGTAGACTTGGCAGTACCTGCTAACTACTTCCCCTGCCTCAAAAGCTGGTTTTGTGTTGCCTTGGTTTTCAAGATCAGCAACCTTCTGCATGTTTTGTCCATTGTCCATAGAAATTGTGTCCAAGTTTTCAGTAGATAGGTGGCTAGAGAGAGTCTCTCCTGTTGGCTGACCAGCCCCATGCTGCTCCCTGTCATCTACAACCGACGGTGTGTACTGCCGCCCATGGTCTAGAGGTATGAACAAGCTGGAGCAGACACACATGTTGAGAAGGACCCCCGCCAGCAAGAGGATGGTTCCATTCAGAGAGTAGGTCTCTAGCAGCAGGTTGATGACTGGACCCAGCACCAGAAGGCCCACACCAGAGCCTGAAGAAATGATTCCATTGGCCAGTCCTCGCTTCTGATGAAAGTATTCATTGACAATGATGATGGAGGGAATGTACACCAGCCCACAGGAGCAACCTTAGATAACAAGTGAACAATATCTTGTAGTTTCAACTGAAACAGCTGAGCCTATTACAGGACGATTACATCACAAAACATTCAAGCAATAACTTCCCCTGCAATCAATCGCAGACAATGTTAGAGTATGTATAACATGAAGGTGATTTACTAAACAACTTGTACAGTTCTGGTTGTCAGAGACATGCTGTAAAGGAATCACAATGTGCTCAACAACCAACCATGTTCATCTGCTCAGCTGAAATCCACTTCTAAAGAAGTGGGACAAGAGGATAACAGCAGGGATGGGGTGGAGGGAAATGGAAAGGATGAAGAGGAAGAAAAATAAATCCAAACATGGTCTAATCAACAGAGTTGAGTTGAGCTGAGAACTGACATCACAGCCCTTGGGGCATTCCCATATGTGCTCCGTCTCCATCTTCAGCAGCCAGTGCTGTGTTTCAATAGTATTCTGGAAGTAGACTCATATGTCCGTCCTGCCTTTCCCCTCAGTGCAGTGAGCCGGCCAGACCCTCTGGTCACACCCAGATGCACTATTCTCTCCAGGCCATGATAATAGTTTCTCTTCTGACTCCGATATTTGTTCCAAAAGGGGCTTGACCACGCCTGTCTTGTCATGCATCCATTCATCACCCAGTGGTGTAGATCCATCCAATCTATCTGACTATTCATTCCCAGCCACGCCAACATAGTCTGGAGAAAAGATCCAATGTATGCACACTACCTGTGACATTCCCAGTGAAGCTTGCCACTCTGCTCGAAGAGGATGTGACATTACCAGTGAAGCTTGTCACTCTGCTCGAAGAGGATGTGACATTACCAGTGAAGCTTGTCACTCTGCTCGAAGAGGATGTGACATTACCAGTGAAGCTTGCCACTCTGCTCGAAGAGGATGAGCAAAGAGGCCAAGACCTGACATGTCTGCTCGAAGAGGATGTGACATTACCAGTGAAGCTTGCCACTCTGCTCGAAGAGGATGTGACATTACCAGTGAAGCTTGTCACTCTGCTCGAAGAGGATGTGACATTACCAGTGAAGCTTGCCACTCTGCTCGAAGAGGATGAGCAAAGAGGCCAAGACCTGACATGTCTGCTCGAAGAGGATGAGCAAAGAGGCCAAGACCTGACATGTCCAAGCAAATATCTGCAGCATTCAAAGTGGCTGTGTTGCCTCTAAAAGAATAAAAGAGAATGATGACAACATACAGGCTTTTGCTACACACAAGCATCCCATCTGTAAGGATTCACCCGTATGTAATAACTGAGGCAATCCTTCAAGAAACAGATAACAACTATCCATGAAGAAAGGTTGAGTTAGTCAATGTTTTGAACATGTTACAAAGTGAAACTAGAATATTGCTGAAAACTAACAAACTTGATGGGAAAGGAATATAGGGAATGGATGGCTCAACAACATGGCAGCATCAGACATAAGCTATGCCTGGATGTCTCAGCCACATGGCAGCATCAAGACATAAGCTATGCCTGGATGTCTCAGCCACATGGCAGCATCAAGATATAAGCTATGCCTGGATGTCTCAGCCACATGGCAGCATCAAGACATAAGCTATGCCTGGATGTCTCAGCCACATGGCAGCATCAAGATATAAGCTATGCCTGGATGTCTCAGCCACATGGCAGCATCAAGACATAAGCTATGCCTGGATGTCTCAGCCACATGGCAGCATCAAGACATAAGCTATGCCTGGATGTCTCAGCCACATGGTAGCATCAAGACATAAGCTATGCCTGGATGTCTCAGCCACATGGCAGCATCAAGACATAAGCTATGCCTGGATGTCTCAGCCACATGGCAGCATCAAGACATTAGCTATGCCTGGTGTCTCAGCCACATGGCAGCATCAAGACATAAGCTATGCCTGGATGTCTCAGCCACATGGCAGCATCAAGACATTAGCTATGCCTGGTGTCTCAGCCACATGGCAGCATCAAGACAAGCTATGCCTGGATGTCTCAGCCACATGGCAGCATCAAGACATTAGCTATGCCTGGTGTCTCAGCCACATGGCAGCATCAAGACATTAGCTATGCCTGGTGTCTCAGCCACATGGCAGCATCAAGACATAAGCTATGCCTGGTGTCTCAGCCACATGGCAGCATCAAGACATAAGCTATGCCTGGATGTCTCAGCCACATGGCAGCATCAAGACATAAGCTATGCCTGGATGTCTCAGCCACATGGTAGCATCAAGACATAAGCTATGCCTGGTGTCTCAGCCACATGGCAGCATCAAGACATAAGCTATGCCTGGTGTCTCAGCCACATGGCAGCATCAAGACATAAGCTATGCCTGGATGTCTCAGCCACATGGCAGCATCAAGACATAAGCTATGCCTGGATGTCTCAGCCACATGGTAGCATCAAGACATAAGTTATGCCTGGATGTCTCAGCCACATGGTAGCATCAAGACATAAGCTATGCCTGGATGTCTCAGCCACATGGCAGCATCAAGACATTAGCTATGCCTGGATGTCTCAGCCACATGGTAGCATCAAGACATAAGCTATGCCTGGATGTCTCAGCCACATGGTAGCATCAAGACAAAAACACAAACCCTGTCAACATCTCTGGTGACTGTGTCAAATGTTGACAAACATGGGACATGATGATGATGTTTGCACAGATGTCACAGTTGTCTCTGTTGACTATTATCCTTCCTACATTTCTGTTTCTCATCCCCTGTCCTACTGCTTATGTTGTAAAGTGTCACAGAGAGAAGTTTGATATAGTTTTCTGTCTTTTGCTAGTTCACATAAATAATGAGAGGGGGGAACCCTTGTTAGCTGCGTAGATTGTGTTATTGTTATATTGTGTCTCTTTTACTTTCTGTCTTGGTCTGTCTCTCAACTTGTAGCCTGCTGTTTTCATGTAGTATTGTGTCTCTTTTACTTTCTGTCTTGGTCTGTCTCTCAACTTGTAGCCTGCTGTTTTCATGTAGTTTTGTGTCTCTTTTACTTTCTGTCTTGGTCTGTCTCTCAACTTGTAGCCTGCTGTTTTCATGTAGTATTGTGTCTCTTTTACTTTCTGTCTTAGTCTGTCTCTCAACTTGTAGCCTGCTGTTTTCGGCGGCAAAATATCCAGCTGAGCCGCGGTCACGGGTCATTGAGCACTTGGAGTCATTGGTCAATTGCGCGCTTCCGGCTACTTCCTGCAGGAGATGTGGAAGCTGCTGCTCGTGAGTCCTAGCCATCTAGTTTAGCCCCAATCCACGCCGCTCACGTGGCGTGAGAGCCATACGGCGGTAGCGTTTGTTGGCGGAAAACCGCAGGAAGACCGCAAATAAAGTAGCCGGAAGCGCGCAATTGACCCGTGACCGCGGCTCGGCTGGATATTTTGCCGCCGCCATCTTGGCCGACTGTTTGTCGGATAGCCCAAATTTTAATCTATTCACACAGTAAATTGTAATTTATTCAGACATAAGACGTCTATCTATTCACACATAAGATGTTTATTTATTCACACATTAGATGTTTTAACATGTTTGGAAAATATCAATATATCAGTGCCTAACGCATCTGAAACGATGAAGACAGTCCTTACCTCCCAACAAGCCAAATGTGACAATGAACACATAGATGTTTGGGCTGAATACGCTGACCACAAAAGCCACACAGCTGAGGATACTTCCTAGGACTGCCACAGGTCGGTAACCAAACTTCTTCACCAGGGCAACGGAGATGGAGCCTGGAAGACAAGTGGGGTCAAACAAGGTCAGTGCAAGGCACAGCTAATCACCTGTGTTGGCGTGGACGATCACAGTTCATCCTTGACAAGGAACACACATGATTGAGTGGCTGCTTGAGTACCTACAGTGAGTAAAGAAATAGTTTGACAGTAAACACAGCTACTGGTCAAGACAGTCAGGAACACACATGATTGAGTGGCTGCTTGAGTACCTACAGTGAGTAAAGAAATAGTTTGACAGTAAACACAGCTACTGGTCAAGACAATCAGGAACACACATGATTGAGTGGCTGCTCAGACACAAGCCTTGTCCAGCGCTCAAACATACAAGCCTTGTCCAGGGCTCAGACATACAAGCCTTGTCCAGGGTTCAGACATACAAGCATTGTCCAGGGCTCAAACATACAAGCCTTGTCCAGGGCTCAGACATACAAGCCTTGTCCAGGGCTCAGACATACAAGCCTTGTCCAGGGCTCAGACATACAAGCCTTGTCCAGGGCTCAGACATACAAGCCTTGTCCAGGGCTCAGACATACAAGCCTTGTCCAGGGCTCAGACATACAAGCCTTGTCCAGGGCTCAGACATACAAGCCTTGTCCAGGGCTCAGACATACAAGCCTTGTCCAGGGCTCAGACATACAAGCCTTGTCCAGGGCTCAGACATACAAGCCTTGTCCAGGGCTCAGACATACAAGCCTTGTCCAGGGCTCAGACATACAAGCCTTGTCCAGGGCTCAGAACCCAACATCCATACACCAGACTTATGAGTCATAGCTCTTCTACAAGGTTTTTTTCTGCACCCAGCCTGTAACCATGCTGACTTACTATTTCTAGACAGAGAAATGACAGTTCTGCAACAGTCCCAGCAGAGATGGTACACTGGTATCAGGTTATAATACAAATCTGCAGACCAACCATCTAGTCTATTATTCAGAAACTCACCACTCAACTTATCTAATACACCAATCAACTATCTAATCTACCAATCAGACACATGCTATTGAATGTCTCTGATCTACCAAACATTCTACATTTTCTAAACGACCAATCAACTATCTAATCTACCAATCAGACACATGCTATTGAATGTCTCTGATCTACCAAACATCCTACATTTTCTAAACGACCACTCAAACAGTGCTCAAATTATCCAATCCACCACTCACATACATACCAAAGTATCCAATCCACCATTCACTTTAATACCAGTCAAAGTATCCAATCCACCATTCACATTCATACCATTCAAAGTATCTAATCCACCACAGATAGATTCCAGTCAAATTATCAAATCCACCACTCACATACATATCAATCAAAATATCCAATCCATCACTTACATACACACTAGTCAAAGTATCAAATCCACCACTCGGATAGGTACCAGTCAATGTATTAAACCCACCACCTAATACGCACCAGAGCACCCAATCTGCCACTCACTTACACACCAGTCAAAGTATCTAATCCACCACTAAGATATACACCAGTCAAATCATCCAATCCACCACTCACACAGACACCAGTCAAAGTATCCAATCCACCACTCACACAGACACCAGTCAAAGTATCCAATCCACCACTCAGACACAGACACCAGTCAAAGTATCCAATCCACCACTCACACAGACACAGCAGTCAAAGTATCCAATCCACCACTCAGACAGACACCAGTCAAAGTATCCAATCCACCACTCACACAGACACCAGTCAAAGTCTCCAATCCATCACTCAGATACACACCAGTCAAAGTCTCCAATTCACCACTCAGATACACACCAGTCAAAGTATCCAATCCACCACTCACACAGACACAGCAGTCAAAGTATCCAATCCACCACTCAGACAGACACCAGTCAAAGTCTCTAATCCACCACTCACACAGACACCAGTCAAAGTATCCAATCCACCACTCACACAGACACAGCAGTCAAAGTATCCAGTCCACCACTCAGATACACAGCAGTCAAAGTCTCCAGTCCACCACTCAGATACACAGCATTCAAAGTCTCCAGTCCACCACTCAGATACACAGCAGTCAAAGTCTCCAGTCCACCACTCAGATACACAGCAGTCAAAGTCTCCAGTCCACCACTCAGATACACAGCAGTCAAAGTCTCCAATCCACCACTCACAAAGACACAGCAGTCAAAGTCTCCAATCCACCACTCACACAGACACCAGTCAAAGTCTCTAATCCACCACTCACACAGACACCAGTCAAAGTCTCCAATCCACCACTCACACAGACACCAGTCAAAGTCTCTAATCCACCACTTTCTTAAGCTGTCTACTAAATATTAACTAACAAAACAAGTCCTACCCATGATCATGAAGGCCACAATGGTGGAGCCAGCAAATGAAGTCACAAAAGCCGAGGAGTCAAACTTGGCTACAATGTAGGGGAACAGAAGGCCAAAGCTACTACCAATGCCATCAATAACAAAAGCCACAAAAAAACTGGCCACTACAACCAGCCATCCATAGCCTCCATCCAAGTGGTCATGCCCAGAAGCTGGTGGCGGCGAGGCACTGGGTGTAGATGTCTGTCTTTCACAGCACTCGTCTGAGCCAGAGCCACCATGTCTGGCTGCCAGCTCAACATCCTGGCCATCACGGTTGGAGTCAGACATGTCTCTCTTCAACATGTGACATCTTTCATTGACATCCTGGCCATCATGGTTGGAGTCAGACCCATCTCTCTTCAACATGTGACATCTTTCATTGACATCCTGGCCATCATGGTTGGAGTCAGACCCATCTCTCTTCAACATGTGACATCTTTCATTGACATCCTGGCCATCATGGTCGGAGTCAGACCCATCTCTCTTCAACATGTGACATCTTTCAGTGACATCCTGGCCATCATGGTTGGAGTCAGACCCATCTCTCTTCAACATGTGACATCTTTCAGTGACATCCTGGCCATCATGGTTGGAGTCAGACCCATCTCTCTTCAACATGTGACATCTTTCAGTGACATCCATTCCTGTAACAAAAATATTCCACTCATTAACTGTGTCGTCATGACGCAGCATGACAGGTCTCACCAAGGAATCAATGTAAAGGAACACAACAGACAACAACAGTTGACAGTGGCTGGCATAATGCTGACCACACCACACACCCAGTGCCGACAGGTTTATAAAATATAGGTCCAACCCTATGTGCCCAATACACCTAAAGGCATGGGAAAGGTCCTTCATTTGACTCTTACAAACAAGAGACTGTCTGATGTAGTCAGGGTCATGACTAGAGACTGTCTGATGTAGTCAGGGTCATGACTAGAGACTGTCTGATGTAGTCAGGGTCATGACTAGAGACTGTCTGATGTAGTCAGGGTCATGACTAGAGACTGTCTGATGTAGTCAGGGTCATGACTAGAGACTGTCTGATGTAGTCAGGGTCATGAGTAGAGACTGTCTGATGTAGTCAGGGTCATGACTAGAGACTGTCTGATGTAGTCAGGGTCATGACTAGAGACTGTCTGCTTCCATCAGATTATGTCACTCTGCAGTATTGACCCTGATCAAATACAGTGAAATATGCCTGGCAATACATTGTGAAATGTTTTCTTTGTTACCTCGTCATTTCAAGACCACAAAAGCAGATAAAGTTATAGGCACATTAACACACCCACTGAGGCAACAGCTTGGAGTTATTTTACACACACCCACTGAGGAAACAGCTTACAGATGTTTTACATATACCCACTGAGAAAACAACTTGGAGATGTTTTACACATACCCACTGAGAAAACAACCTGGAGATGTTTTACACAAACCCACTGAGAAAACAGCTTGGAGATGTTTTACACACACCGACTGAGGCAACAATATGGAAATGTTTTATACAAACCGACTGAGGTAACAACGTAAAAATGTTTTCATAAATCATTGTAAAACACATGTACTCAGTGTCATAAACACAATTCCATCCAACATTATTTAATGGAGTGACAAAAATATGAACCTTAGTGAACATTCTAGAGTTAAGTTATGATTCATTGCAATCAGCCAACATCAAAGGAAAATAGTCACGTCACAAACAGATCCAGAGAACTGCAAGGAAAGACTAAACATTACAAGAACAACCTCTCCTACGTACCACTGAACTAATGTAGCAACAGAACATAATAAGTGGTATCACTTGCTGAATAGTACACATATTTAAAGTAATAAACTTGTCTGCAGAATGTTCTATACATTAATAAATGGTAAAAGTACAAGTCAGACAAGACATAAACAGCCCTTATCTGGAGGTTTGGCACACAATGATTGGTCAACACAGAGCACAACGGTTGTTTTGTCCTAGCCAAGAGAAGAATGTCAACCATCACAACAACACAGCTTGTCTTTCTTCTGACAGTCAGGGAAAGCCATTGCTGCGTAGATCACACAGACTGTAAATGCGCATTTCACACAAGTAAGGACTGTACTATAATCACAAATACGACGGTTGAATTAATGTTCATACTGTTGTATGTGTTGTTGACGTGTTAGCTGTCTGTCTTTCGTTTATCCTACAGTATTGTTTGGACTGCAGTGCCCCGGTCAAGTGCGCTCACAGACTTGGACATTATATACAAATTCAAAACTACCGGCTAGCTATTGTTCGGCCTGTCAGGGGTTAGCAGTGACAATCAAATAATGCGACTGTATCCTAGCCCCACCATCGTCATGGTTCCATTTACATCGTAGTTCAATGATTGAGAAGGCATGCTAACTTGTGGCCATGAAGTGGCGTCACCGCTGCAATAGCCGGCGTCAGGTCACATTTGACAAGATAAAGTTCCGACCTTTGCCACTTACCGTCGTCTTGATACACGTGAATTCTGTTCATATCTAACTTGGGCGACCGCATCCTGGGAAGTCGTTGAGATCTAGAAAAGTCTAGATGACGCAGTTCTAGAAGACAGAGAAGACGATCTCAGCGGAGCGAAAGAGAGAGAAAGAACAAGGACGTCCATGTTGTCGGCGTCTGCTGGCAAGCAGAACTTTTTGAAAAACCCAGCTAAGATGACCAAAAAAACCCAAGCAATACATGAGCAAAGAACAAAACACACACACACAAAATACCCAGATTGTTAAAAAGTACAAATTTTATAGTTACGAAACGAAACATTTCCCAACCTTTATATAAAGATATTTAAAAAAAAAAAGATTTCAAAAATGGTGAAAATATGGGGGTGACTGCAGTCAAGTTAATACAAGGAATTCCAGAGAAATTTGACTAAAAAGTTCAACAAAACTGCTTCCCCATCTTGTTGAGCTTTATAGTCAAATTTTTCTGGAATTCCAGATTTCAAAATGTGAACCCAAGGTCTGGGGGTAAAAACCCATCATTGGCAGCCCCGCTGGCAAGCCGCACTAGGCCGGTTGCTGTTGCCCTTCAGTGGTCAGAGGTCACAGTTCATAGTTATACAACTAAGTTTACGAAGGAGCAGTGTTGCCACTTTGGATATTTTACATCCAGATTTAGATGTTTTCCCCTTGCATTTAGATGCCGTTTTTTGACGATTAAATGGTATATGTTTTTCTAGATCTTTTCATCTGGAGTTAATTTATCAAATCTAAAAATCTAACCTAAGAAACAGGATAAAATTTGGCCTGATAAAAGTAGGAAAATGCTATTCCACTTATCAACTCCCTGATTGGGTATTGAAAGAAATTGGAACAGCTAAAGCATGAGTTAGTTGCGTATCCTTTACAGGACGTTGCAGAACCAACCCTAACAGCCCCTGGCTGTTGTGTGGTCTCTCTAGGCAAATTTACGTCCAGTAGTTTGCCATTGCTTACTGGACGGTCAGCTTTCTTATACCACTGTCGAAACCAACGCAAGGCGCATTGCCCGCAGCTGGAATCGAACCAGGCATTACGACGCGCAGCGTTCGCATCGACTTAGCAAGAGAGCCGACAGCTAAAGCATACCAGAGTCATTTTGGATCTGAAGCTTCAACTTCATCATCCAAGCTAAGTTTATCCTGTAGATCTTGTAAGGTAGACTTCGGTAAAGATGAGGACATGATTTTATAGGGTAAGTCATATAAATAGCTATGTAATTTGTGACTTTCTATTCCAATGTTTTTTTCTATAAGTTTTTCACGCAAATTTAAATGTTTTTAGATATTTTTTGTCAAAGAAAAGTGGCAACCTTGCGTAGGAGCCAACAATTTTGAAAATGACAACCGTCATGGACCAGAGGTTCGGCCCCAGCTTGCAAAGATCATTAATTCCAATTTAACTGGCAATGATCCCGGTTAGCGAGGTCAATAAAATACTGCCAACAGGAGATTTATCCGCCTCTACCCTGCAGGAAACCTCGTGGCGAGCAGCTGAACGCCGAACAGTTTTTCAGTCGCTGCAACCCACTGACACTGTACTACCGGTCACTCCATTATGTGTTCTGTGGTGCTCCAGTAAAACCGTGCTGTGTAAGCTGTATGGTTGAAATTCTTGATTTTCCAACCGTGGTGGATATAATTTAAATTTGCTGAGCAGGTGCCTACCTTAAAGTCAGCGCAGCCAAGGTGAAATTAAGATGAAAAAAGGCAAGTTAAAAAAAAAAAAAGAGGAAAATCGTGCTTGGCTCAGGCCAAGAACATTATTCAGCAAGTGTGTTCTCTTGAGGACATAGAACCTGGTGATGAATGCATACGTCCTCTTCTGCATCCGTCTAGACAGAAAGTGCAGACAAGAAAGTCCAGTCGCTGTTGAAGCAGGAGTGCAGGTTTTGATTTTCTATAATTCTCTGCAGGGGGATGGTGTCACTGAGAGGCTCTTTGGCTTTCACGGCTCAGGCTGGGGTCAGAATTGTCAGGCTGGAGTCAGAATTGTCAGGCTGGAGTCAGAATTGTCAGGCTGGAGTCAGAATTGTCAGGCTGGAGTCAGAATTGTCAGTCTGGAGTCAGAATTGTCAGGCTGGAGTCAGAATTGTCAGGCTGGAGTCCGAATTGTCAGGCTGGAGTCAGAATTGTCAGGCTGGAGTTAGAATTGTCAGGCTGGAGTCAGAATAGGGAGGCAAGATTATAGTGCTGTTGCCTTGACAACAAGTAGTCTGACTATAAAGGTTGTGGCAGTGACCAAAGCAATAATATGGCTGGAAAAACAGACCTTTATCTCCGCAATGCTTTCTCAGTGACCTAACAAGTATACTCAGAAAGATAGAGATTGGCTGGGTCCGAAGACCGTGGTTGGAGTCTCTAAAGCGATCTGGGCTGGCACATATCAGTTTCATATTTGTGCCAGGGCACGCAGGCGTGCAAGTAAATAGACGACCTGATTGGCTTGCAAATAAAACTACTGTGGAAGGCAGACGGGCCATGGACCAAGCTGACATTCTGAATGCTCTACGAGAAGTAAGACGTTTGCGAGAACCGAGTGATGACTGTGAATCTGCAACAATGACCAGACTGCAAGAACAACATGTTAAAGGGGTGTGACCTGACAACAACACTATGCTAGAAGCCAAAGAAGAATACCAAACCAATACAGAACTGGTGTCATCAGTGACTTGACGCTGCGAAATTTACTAAGGTGGGGATCCGAGCACTTAAGGACCGAATGGCTTGATCTGCAGTGATGATAATCTGTCGACTTACTAACTAACTACACGGTTGAAAGGGATTTCTGTGAGTTGCAAATGTCAATCTAGGGAGAACAAACTTTAAACTTCAACTGTGCTAGGCAAAGGCAGGCATTATTGGCTAGCACAACCCGCCCAGTCTGGGCACTGCTCTCACAGACACAAACACCCGCCCAGTCTGGGCACTGCT